TTCTTTCTGACCCCAAAATGTCAAATGAGCGCTGCAGTTCCCCTTTAAAATAAGGCTCCCTGCAAGGGCCACCTGCCTGCAGTAACACTGTGCGTGAAAAGCTCAGCTCGATCGGGCAGGAGGCGGAAACACACAGGTGTGACAGGAGTGCTCTGAGCTGTCTCCGGGGAGGCACAGGGGTGTGCACGCAGGTGTGGCAGCTGTGTGCGTCCTCGGCAGAGAGGGTTGGGGTGGGGCCCCCCCGGGCAGCGCTGTGTCAGAGCGCGGTGAAGGAAGAGGACAGGGCAATACTGACTGCGGACCTTTGGAGCCGACTGCCGTCACAGGACAGGGGGTGGGTGCCGGGCTTACTGTTGGTCAGCGCCTCCCAGATCGTCACCTGCGAATGGGGAGATGGGGGGTGGGGGGCAGAGGAGGAATGGGAGAACAGGCCTTGATTACAGGGCAAATTGTTCAGGACATTTTTTAGCTATAGAGCAGCAAACCCCTGCACATATTACCAAGTTCACTTTAGCGTGCTCTCAATGCAGGCCCTGGACTTTCATCAGAACCAGACACCTGCTGCTTTATAGCACTCTTTTATGGGCATGTGGCGGCTCTGTGGCTCAGGATCTGCGCCTGTGGCTGAAAGGTTGCCGGTTCGAATCCCGCAGCCAGCAGAGGAATCCTACTCCATTGGGCCCCTGAGCAAGGCCCTTAACCCCAACTGCTCCAGAGGTGCCATATAAATGACTGACCCTGCGCTCTGATCCCCAGCTTCTCTCTCCCTGTCTGTGTGTCTCATGGAGAGCAAGTTGGGGTATGTGAAAATACTATTTCCTAATGCAAGAAATTGTATAGGGGCTAATAAAGTGATCTGATCTTATCTTCTACACTGGCTCCACATACAAGGATGTTTGGTTTTAACACGCAAATAACTGAGGTCCTGCAACCTTGTACTAATTAAGTAAATTATTTGTTTAACTAAGTCATTAATAGTGAAAAACCAGAACTGTTCATCTCTGCGATCCTACAGTACCGTGCTGTGCCTTGGCCTCCCAGCAGCCAGGGGGAGCTGTCACCTGCGGTCTCACCTGGTCATACTCGCTGCCGGCCTCCAGCAGGCTCTGCTGAATGGCGAATTGCAGCAGGTCCTCCTCCTCCTCACGCAGGTTGTCACGGTGACTGCCCAGCACAGTGTACCCGCGCGGCACCTCGAACAGACAGGCTGGGATCTCACCGCCGCGACAGGAGGCTGAGGACGGACGTGCACAGCAGTTAAATCTGAGCTGTAGACGAGGTGAGCAGTGTCTGTGGCACAGCAGTGTGCCGTTTGTACGCCAGTCAAGTCCTCTAGTTTCCGATTGTGGTAGTTTACCATTTAGTACGTTGGTGTAATTCAGGAGTACTGGGTCAATAAGATTCAGGCATGTATCAGTGTGTCAGAGTGGTTCAGGAGACTTCAGGTGGTTCAGCGGCGTGCCAGTGTGGTTCAGAATACTTCATTGTGGTTCAGGAGAGTGTCAGAGGGTCTCAGGAGAGTGTCAATGAGTCAGGAGAGTGCCAGTGTGTTCAGGAGAGTGTCAGTG